AGCGGTACAAAATTAATATTGCCATCTTATGAAGCTTGTTTTGCTCTATCGGATATTATTAGGTTGCTAAAAAGTAAGTTCGTTTTGGCATACAAATTGTCATAAAAAATTTTCTTGTTGTTTTCAATCTATGATTCTTTGTGGGAAAGTAAATCGAAGCTTCCTCTATCACATATTAAATAATCAGGATTTTCTATTGTCAGTAAAGACAGTTATGCCTCAACATGGCGAAATTTCCAAAAGCTCAATTTTTTGACTTCTTGAGCTTCGTTCTCATGCTGTAATGGATGTAAAGAGCAGCAGTTTGGTGTTTGAATACAGAGGAGTTATCCATATTTAGTGAACAACAAAAAGAACCGTGATCTGCCATTTTGAAAATGTTTCACTGAGAAAACCAAATTTCCTCATATTTGCGCATTATGGGAAAATTGCGATTTTTCACTTCTTTGCGGTTTCTTTTCCTGGGAAGATAAGTTTTACTTGAACAGAATATATGCTCCAATACCCAGTAAAGTGCTCTTTTCAGAGATATCAAACATTGGACAAAAATTTGTCAACAGCATTTGTAAGAGCTGAAAAAGCGACCGAACTTATTTATTAGCCAACCTAATACTTTGCTATCTTTCTAGAAATGAGAAGGTAAGATTTATGTGGTTGAAATTCAAAATGGAATTTGTGGAACAACCTATTAAAATAATAATAATAGAATAATAATATGTAAATCGAAAGAGATTCACGAGCACTCTGACTTTAGAGTTGATAAATTGGGTGGAGGACATTAGTCGCCGATAGGCTCCGCCCACACGGACAGCCAGCATGACAGTAATGGCGAAGGCCCGAGCTTTGTTGCAAATGTCCGCGGAAGACCGCCTCTTTCGGCGAGCCAATGTTCTCTACTCGATTTTTTTCGAAAATGCGCGTTTACACTCAAATTTGCATGTGTACCATGAATTACAGGTATTCCAGCAAAAACGAGTATTGACCGTGGCGGAATTTATGACCAAACTATCTTTTTTCCTTGCCAAATCCAACAGACAGTGAGCGCATATGTGTGTATGAGTTTGTCTATTTTATGTCTGACCTGAATGGCAGGGGGGCGGGCGTTAGGTACCCAGCCGAGGTGCGGGCGTTAGGTACCCAGCCATTTGCTGTATACACTAAGCCACGCCCCTTGGTTCTTCAACAGCGGGTACCTAACGATACACTTAATTTTAGCTGCCAGAACAGCTCACCTAGCTCGCTATGGCGCTGGCGCTTGCAACCCATAGGAAAGGGGTAGTTCGAGGAAATCAAAAAGAAATTGCGCAAATAAAAGCGCAAGTTCGTATGCAATTTGGGAATCACAGAAATTCGGTGATGAATTTTAAAAACAGTAAAGATTACATGAGCAATTCACATCGTTTTGCAAGAAAAAAGGTAAACCTTGTAGAATACTAGTAAGCCAATTTTTTATAAATTCAATAAATCAAAGCAAACTTTCGGAGTTGCTTCTGGCACTTTGTTGCACGAAATATTCCTTTGTTTCAAAAACTGCTTTAAGAAAATTCTTGACAATGATAAGTGGAAGCGATTGAAAAATGAGCTTCAACGAGAACTTGTCATCCGCAGAACTTTATGGAGGTCTAGTGACCCATAATCTATGGAGGCACTAGCTCTGTTCCAATCAATGGAAATTTTTATAGAGGGATTTTGAAGCCAATTTTGATAGGGAGTGTGCCAATAGAATGAAACAGAAAAAAGCAACAAACTTTAATGAGAGCATATTTGACAAAATTCTTCACTTCTTAGTGAGTTATAAAAAAAATTCATAGCATTAATGGATAAATTGATCATATTTTGGCTGCTAGAGAAGGGAGTGAATATGAAACAATTGCAATATTGAAGCCGCAAAAAAGCACTGCAAATAGACACGATAAAATACAGTAACTCAACGAAATTTCCACATGGGATGTGAAATCTTCCGAATAAAAATATGTCTTTATCAGTGTAATGTTCCATAAATCTGGTGGCCTTAGCAATGAGCGAAGTAATAGCCTTGATAATCTAAGATAATGTAGTTCACAATCCTTGTGGCAATATTAACGCGCGTATAATTCACACCCCAAAACGAGGCGGACGACAAATATGTGAAAGGAAAATTCCGTGCAACTTATTTGCAACATCTCCGAAAGTGCTCTTGGCTTCATTGAAATCATAAAATTTTGGTTCATTGGAATTCTAGAAAGTTTACTTCTTTGAAATTTTCCCTGATATAATGGGTTAGATTAGATTATCACAATTTTTTCTTGCAAAACTATGTGAATTGCTCATACATATAAGCTTTACCTCATCAGAAAATTTCTGTGATTCTAAAATTGATTTAAAAGCAGCAGAAGAATGTTGCATACAAATTTGTGCTTTCATTCTCGCAATTTTTTTCTAATTTTCTCGAATTATCTCTTTTCTGTGGGTCGCAGGCCCCAGCGCTTTAGCGAGTTAGGTGGGCTGTTCTAGCAGCTAGGATTCCGTGTATCGTTAGGTACCCGCTGTTGAAGAACCAAGGGGCGTAGCTTAGTGTGTATACCTAATGGCTGGGTACCTAACGCCCGCACCTCGGCTGGGTACCTAACGCCACGCACCCGAATGGCATAATTTTTGAAAATCGTGTTTTGAGTTAGGGCAAAATCATGAAGTTATAGTTTGGCTCCTGATATTTCCAATTTTTGAACGTCAAATCTTGAAGTTACTGGATGTACGAAGACATTCCTTCTACCTTTCCAGCTGAAGCTATATTTGATTGGAAAGAAAGATCTCGAGCATTGCATTACGTCACAGTTTTTGCTTGGATATGAGTACCAATTGAGGCCTGAACACACTACTGCATGAAGGAAAGCAAGCCCTGAAAGGCAGACACATTCAATATTATATGGCATACACAAAAAGATTGGATTCATCTCTGATACAAATTTCATTTCCACCAATGCCAGCTCGTACCAATCTACAGCAGACAGAATTTAAACACATTTTGTAACTCGTATCCAATACGTATTCTTCTAAATTTGAAGCTTTGAGTAAATCTAATGTCCAGGGCATGTTCATGACGTACAAAGGCCTACCTTCATGAGTTTCTCAGGAAACTTTTCGAAATTTTTTTATTTAAGAAAATATAGGTTGTCCGGGAAATAATGTCGCATCGTATCCTACCGCGACAGAAGGACCACAAAAAACGGCGAATGGGGTGTCATTTGATAGAGCAAACCAAGCTCTACAAGGCAGTTCACAGACCTCCGCCTCCGCGGAAATCTTGCTCCACCTGAAGTTCGAACCCAATACAAAAAATTTCAGATACCCGAAAAATCGGATCTCTGTTCACAGACGTCTTAGGGATCTCCAATTTGCACAGGCATGTACTCTTCACACTAGACATTTACCTGTGTAGTTTGTGGTATTTTTCCATGGTTACAGTACGACAAATAAGAATTGGTCAAAATTGCGATTATATCGCGTTTTTCGGTTTTTTTGCAAACAATTTGATTTTTCTCGAAAACCAGCGACTGTCTAAGACTAAAAATTCGGAGTTATACTCCTAAGGGTTCATACTACAGAATCACCCATGTGAGAGAAGCTCAGGATTGCTTTGGCAAAAACATGCCGAATTTCATTTTCTCATTTTCAGGCATGAAAAAACCGCGAGATTGTGCATACGAGTGTCGCGTATAGTGAGTCCATGCGTGAGCAAGTTAGGGGTTCCCAGGACTTTTCTGAACGGAGATACGATTCTTTTCGTTTTTTAGATCCTTAGTGCCTTATGAAATTTGGCTCCAAACTTCACGCAAATCAAACCTGGCCCGAAAGTTCGAGCTTCATTTTGTAGAGCTTGCTCTGATCTATCGGTCGATACCCACTTACTAACTTTCGTGCGCACCCTGCTGCGATATTGCATGATAAAACACGGTGCGACATTATTTTCCGGACAGCCTAATATGTGCAACAGAAATTTTCCACCAGTCTAATAATTCAAAAGAAAAACAACCAAATCAAAAAAGAAACAAGATTGAAGAGTGAATAACTCCGATACTTTCTTAAATCTAGACTTTTACTTGCACGAACATAAACCACATACTTACGAGGTCATCAACTTGCTAGGTTTTAGAAAATAGTAATTTCTGAAACTGTCTGAAAAGGCGCAAGCACATAGAATGCCCAAGAAATTCTTCATAATTATTCTAAAAAAAGTTTGTGGCCTATTTATAGCCCGCGCAAATGTGGCTCATCCGAAACAATACAAATAGAAATGCAACCCGCAAGTTGCTCCAACAGTTTGATCCCTTTCAAAAATCTGCAATTCACGATGCATGATGTTATTGCACTTGATTGATTGTTGAACTTCATTCGTTATTGCATATTTACTTCAATAATTAACAAACCATTTTCACCCAATGAGCTGATTACAATGTTAGGTATTTTTCCGTTATTCGGACCCAATTTTTTAAAGGGCTCTCACAAAATACGCTATTTAGTTTGAGAACACTATAATTTCTACGAGGGCAGCCTCCCTGCCACGTGTCAAGAAGAAATTGACATGTTTTGGTCCAGTTGGACACGTTTTTTTAAAATCATTTCCGTTAAGTTAAAAGAGCATTTGTAGTCACCTAAAAGCTGTTTAACTGTCTTCTATAAGAACAAATCAATTTGGAACTCATATTAGAACATCTTGTTGCTTTCAGAAATGATTCAAAAATGTCTTTCTTTTCGATCTCTGTCCGCCATGCGAATTTAGCCAGGATAGGCTATAATTGATGGATTGAAGTACCTCGCTAATGATTGTTTTGTCGCTTAGACGATGGAAATCTAGCGCAATTCTCTATTGTGGGCAAGCCCAATCTGTTCATTGATAATAGCATAACGTTGTTATCATAATAGTGTCCATTTATGAAGTTGTTTAATCTGGTGTCATTATCGGGCTGAAAAACAACCGAATTAACGTCACTGGGTAGAGCAACACAAACTCATAATAAAACCTGCTAAACACCTGTTGCTAAACATGTAGATACATGTCAAATTTTTGACACGTGGCTGAAGGTTGGCACTCCTTCCTGTGAAGTTGGGACCAAATCTGGTACAAGGAAAGAAGCAATATCTTAGTTTGAAAAAATGGGTCCGGATAACGGAAAAGTACCCAATGTTACATACATATTATAATTACTTCAGGTGATTAATTGGAATATGTTTAGCTCCAAGATTTAGGGAATACATGGACAAAATTGAAAGGCACATTCTCAGACAATCGCAAAGAAGCTCCGGAGTAAACTGATCTTCTAGAACTTCCATAGCGGATGCTGCTATTGGTCAGTGTGGCATGAGCTGTGTGGCCTTTGCTCACGGACCAATAGCAGCGTCCGCTCCGGAAGGTCTACAAGCTCAGTTTGCTCCGAAGCCTTTCTTGCTACTGTCTGAGTTTATGCAATCTTCACTTTGCCGATTTGAGTGTTTCCAATGCAATAGATGGTTTTATGTGCGGGGTCAATCACCACCTCTTCGTCCTCTTCCATCTTGGGAAGTTTCACTTTGAGTTTCTTCCATTTGGGAGAGGATTTGAGGTTGTTTAGCTCCCAAACGCTGCCATCAAATGCACCTCCGGACTTCCCTGTAATGACTATTTGAGACTGTATGCATTGACTGACCTAAATCCACTAAAAGTCACCTCTTTTAATTTGGCCTGCGGCATGAATCCATGAACCGGAAGGCAACAGAGCATGAGCGCGAGCACCATTAAAACTCCATCGCGGTTTTGATATCGAATTGATCTAGAGGGAAGTGATGGTGTTATGGATCAAACTTCATTACAAAGTTTAACCTCTAAAGTTTCGCAGGACTGTGAGTTCAAATCGCAAGCAATGATACTCTCGGCCGTCCATTGGTATCCGTAGTTGGTTATACTATAGGAAACCAACAATCGTGAGCCACTTGCAACTGCTGATGTGGCTTGTAACTGCTGAACATGCACATTCCAAAGAAATGAAGGGAAAAATAGTTGTGAGAGCTTGCACCTCTGATTCATCGTCTGCTGGTATTTCGAAAAGATGTTCAGCTTTAGCGCCATTACCACTGAACTTCAAACGGGCCACTCTCATTTGATTATCCAATGTAGTTATTATATATTTCGTATTATCGTCTTGACTATCAGCAATCTGAAGGTCGCCGTTCACTGGAAACTCCGAATCCGAAGCAACAATGGAATTGAAAGGCTGAACGATATAAAATGACGAGGATTATTGAAATTAGGGCGCTATTCCAGTATCCGGGCCCCAAAATTTTTTTGTCGTGGATTTCGCTAAAGCTTCGCCCAGGGGGGTGATTTGGCCCGCTGATGCCGAATATCACATTGGTTTTGTACGGTAGCGTCATTTTCTGGGGTTACGGTGGGTGTACGGTAAAGGGTCAAAATCACAGAATTCGCTGAAACTTGGCCTAGCGGGATTATTCGGCCCGCTGATGCCAAATATCACATTGGTTTTGAACCGTAGCGTCATTTTCTCGGGTTACGGTAGCTACACGGTAACGGGTGTAAAACATAGTTCTGCCTGAAACGGGTGTACGGCGATTCGGACGATCGTGAAGCTTTGCACACACGACCACCGCCACGCGATACACTCTCTGCTGCGGCTTTTGCCTAAGCAAAGCATAGGGGAAAGATACATTTGCCGATTTGCGTTTTCGACCCTTACCATAAACCTACCGTAACCATGCAGGGAAACGTTTTTGTGCGGAGAAAGTGTGACATTTCTGATCAGGATGTCTAATGACCCCTCTGTGCGAAGCTGCAACGGATTTTGAGGTTTTGGCCCCCTACCGTTTACCCACCGTAACCCGAGAAAATGACGCTACGGCACAAAACCAATGTGATATTCAGCATCAGCGGGCCGAATAACCCCTATGGGCCAAGTTTCGGGCAAATCCGTGATTTTGACCCCCTACCGTAATCTTACCGTAACTCCACCGGATGGCGCTATTGCATGAAATAAACATCATATTTGTGTTCAGCATACCAAATAACCCCCCTGGGCAAAGTTTCAGCGAAATCCACGACAAAAAAATTTTGGGGCCCGGATACTGGAATAGCGCCGAAATTAGAAGGCCGGCTTACTTGCAGTCTCACACTTTCGAATTTAGTTCCCGTCCATTTGTAAAGAGCTTCCAACGAGATTTCATTAGATGTTTTATAAAGAAGCACGTGAGGAGCTCCATTGTGAATGAAGAACTTCTCATCAAGATTCTGGTCATTTGATAAAGCAGAGAACTGAAATAAAGTCACGTGAGTCGAATTGCAGCTAGTATAGGAAAACAATGTGATATTCAACTTGTGCTCAATTTTTTTTTGAAAAATTCAACAGCAACAACCATCTTGAATACACTTGAGCAGATTTACCGCTCAATATAGTGTGCTTGCATTGCAGGTAATGTAATAAATTTGCGCGTGAACAAACAGCTGCTCCTGTGATGCCGGCCATTTGCGCGCGCAAAATGCCGGCGTCACTAGTGTGGCTAGTTGTTCACGCTCAAATTTTACCGCATTCTACCTACAATGCAAGCCCATATAGTGAGCGGAAAATCTACTGACTGTACATGCTGCGCCTGTTCAACAGTGGAGTATAGACTGAGTTTCATAACCACCTAATCATAAAAGAAACGTTGATCGGCTATTCTGGTTGGACAACAAAACTCTTTAGTCATGAAATTCGCTCAAATTGATGTCCTACGTTATTACGAACATGAAAAGAAAATAACTTTTTGGAAATTTGATTAGGAGCCACTCCTTTTTGCGAAGTTGTAGCAGTTGCTGAGTTTCTCACCCTTGCACCGTAATCCCGCACTAGCTATACTAAACAGACCGTTTTTCCATACGCTATAAGCTGAGCTTTCTTTGGGCTTGATCCTATGCTTAACTTCAGACTCATACAAAAGGGTGAAACATCTGAGTGAAAGGTAGTCAAAGGATTGCACCTCAGTAATATATTATTTGCATTCATGATTCTATCATTGTACAGACTTCAAGGTAAAACTCTGTTTGATATTTTGTGTGAGTATGGTAGCTATTTGGTAATAAGTCTAAATATCATGCTGACTTCTGCATAGGGTTCACTTTGTCGAACGTTCCCACACAAACACTTTATAGCTAGATTCTTGCGAGGCAAGATACCGCACGGTAATCAACCATAACCACAAAATTGGTTTAAACCCTTTGTTACACCAATGCTGACCTCAGCAGAATGTCCTACCAAGTGGAATGATGGCTAATTTCAAATTTTGTTCTCGCGATCAGAATGCCGAGCGAGTTCGTACGCCATATTAATTAATTAGAGCTGTTATTTTTGCTCAACAATTTGACTTTATAGTGAGAGTTGCGCTGATGTTCGATCAGCATGTAAAAAACTCTCTGAATCGAATTTTAGTCGACCGCTACAAATGCTAAGACAAACAACCGTGATATAGTATATAGTAATCACTATCAACCGTGATATAGTAATCACTATCATTTAGTTCCCTTACCCAGCCTACAGGTTAGCCGCAGGGAGCATGAAACGCAGGATCTACAACGATGGAGAATAGTAATGCCTAAGGTGACTAGGATGCATTAGTGTTGTCTATGGAACTTCGGTCTACTGAACATTAATAGAGGGATAGCGAGATATGATAGAAATGATCTTCACTCGATCAGATAACAACGCATTTCACTGTTTAGCTTTTCGTTTCCATGTAGTTCTTCTCACTTTGCTTCTAACAATTCTTTGAGCTTGTGCTCTTCTAGCCTTTCCTACTTATCATATTTTGTTAAGCATAATGTCTAGTGTTCTGTAGACAATTTTTTACTAGAACTGCTGCATTTACATTCACGATTTACTAAAAATTAAAAAACTCACACTTTTAGCATCTTCCCATTTGTTTTTAGCTGTGTTGAAAGCAATAGCATACGTTCCAACATATGCTACACTGTGAGGCAAATCAGACGTTTCTTGGTTCACGACTAAAATCGATATCAAATTTTTTGAACTTTGTAAATTTACTTACATCTTCTTCCAAATATCCAGATCTTATCACCGGCCACAAGTGCATGATCATATTTACATTTTTCTGGAACCAAGCTCTTGTGGGATTTACCAATCTTCTCGAACCTTATCCTGTAAATGACAGTCTTTGAAGGATCCTGTCTTGGTTCCTGTAACAATGATTGCAAGTAAGAGGAAAGTCAATAAAGGTTTTGGCATGCTATGGGAGCTTTGGCAGAGAATTCTCATAAAATGACATCCAGCCTCTTCTTTCGCAGTATCTATGTAAAGGCTACTACCGGACAAAAGCGCAAACTTGAACGCGGACGCGTTTCTATGAACCGCAGGTGCAGTGTAGCTTTAGTGATTGTGGGTGAGCAACAGCTTTGATCTCTTCACTTAGGCGCCACTGGATGAACTCGCCACCTGACGTATAGACAGAGATTCAAGGCAACACAACAGAATTCACGGTAATGGTATAAGCTTTGTGCTTGGCGAAGAAACGCCAGCCTTCGCTTTATCGCAGTCAGCTCACCACTGGGGCGGGGCGGAAGAAGCTAACGGTAAGTACTTCCATCCCATTTTTAAGCTCCTGCATGACGAAAGCGCAATACTATTAGGAACAAACACGGCTTTATTAGCCGCAGAGCGCCTGAAGCGTAGGGTCTACAGCGGTGGGGATACGGGCGCGTCGCCTTCGCCGGCTCAATTATTTTCTTGCGCCTTCGTTCGGCAGCTATCTATGGGATGATGAAGATCATGTGCATCAGCCTACATGAATAGCAGATTTGAAGCAAACTTATTTTTGGAAACTATGAAAGATCAAAAACCCCAAATCACAGAATATGCCGAAAAGAAGGCCGAAGTGCTTGTATTTATAGAGGCCGTAACAGTAAAAACAACAACAGTAACAGCAACAGTAAGCCGTAACAGGCCGTAGCGTATAATCCTTTTCTTCTCCTGAACACTTTTGCCTGAAACACACCTTTTCGATATTCTGCCCTGTGCCTCATCGAAAGTTTTGCTCCATAACAGTAAAATTGCAAGGATACGCCAGCATATCTTATTCATCATCTCTCTATAAACAATGTTCTGTCAGATCCTGAAAAATGTTGAAGTTGTCAGGAAAAGGCTGTTTCAGCCTTGGGCAGAGTCTACGAGATTTCATCACATTGCGATTCTCCAAACAAGACAACTGCCGATCATTTTGCATCTCGGTTGTGATAGTTAGTCACGACCATTCGCGTCGGAAAACTGTCAGAACCGAGATGCAAGATGTATTAGTAACTTTTGTCTTGCTAGAAGATTGCGAGGCGATGGAATCGTGAAAAGTCCTCCCGAGGCCTTGTTGTTACGATTATACAGCGAACGTAAGGGATCAACAGACTCGTCGTGGCTACATTGAGTAAAACGAGGGTTTATATGATGACACTGCCGTTTCAATGCATGAAAGAGTTTATGAGGTTATCAGGACCCTTACACCCTATTCATCACAATTTCAAAGAGATACTGTCGGCTTAGCACTTTAAAATTAGTTTCTAATCTTGTATAATGTTTGCAGCACTCAAAGCTGTGCGAAGTGGGTTTATTTGAGGTTAAGAGATTTTCGTTTTGTCGGGGTCGGCCACGGTATTAGGCTTCGGTTATATACTTTACCAATGTTACCAGTGTCAGTGCTATTGTTCACGCGTGCCAGTATTACCGGTGGATTCTGCTTAATAACTCCAACATCTACAACAGAAAACAGCCTCGTGGTATAGCTTAAAAGCCGTGCATATCACACAATTCAGCTTTCAATTGATAACTTCCGTACATAAGGTGCCGTGTATCTGGTGTGAAGAGTCACTTTGTCCGCACGCTCTGATGGCACAACACAGAAGCGGGCTCGCTATACAGCCATCGAAGCGCATAAAAGAACACTCACCAACAGATGAGAGTCTATGAGAAAATGAAACTTTAGGAATAGTCATTCCTTCATAAACAACAAAAGCTGTGACACCGAACTAGCAACACTAGAGACCCCAGTAACAACGGTAAAATTGGTAAAGCAGGTGGTACCTGATGATGGGGAACGGTCAGGAGGTACTGTCAGAAGGTATTTTTCGCGAAGCAACGCTGCAACGTATTTTAGATAAAACAGCAGCAGCAATTTCGGCGCAATGTTACTTATGGCGTCGAGTCCTGTATCTGCCCCCCCCCCCTGTTTTTTGCTGCCGGTAATCTTTAACAGCAGAGAGTTTTGTGGGCCCCAAGATTCGAACGCGATGCGCGCGACATAGCGGCCGCCGCGCGGCGTACATCCTGACCTGCAGTCCCTACTGACATCAATAATACTGCTAACACACAGTGTACGCAAACTAAGTGAAGCTGACTCGGATTCAGCGTTTGGGGTTGCTTCAGATTTTGCGGCATACGCGGCGCACGCGACATCTGCAGCGTACGCACACATGCACAAAGATATGGGACGTACGCTACGTACGTCACGTGCTCCGCATACGCCGCGCAGTCTGGCACAATCCTTATAGATGTGAACTAGACCGATAAGGGCTTACGTTTACTTAAGAATAGTGTTGCTTCCATCAAATCGGTATATATAAGGAGAGACGCCTTCATGATATGGTAAGAATGGTATGGTTGATGAAGCACTATTGAATGCCGTCAGTATTGCTAATATGCCATCAGTATTGCTAATAAATGTCGATTAGTAATATATGCTGTGGTATCGCCGGCCATTGCAGTCAAAACAAAGCTTAAAATGATGTTATCAAAAAAGAAAGACGTGCAATGACGTGAATGATCCAGCAGAAACTGGTGTAATGCCCTCATATGAAGCTCATACTTTACTTAAAAGCTTCGAAACATATTCTCCTAAGATTTTTGTATAACAATAACTAATATGGGCTTTTCGGGTGTTTGATTTGTGTTGCAACAATTTGCTCATTGATGCATTCAACAGACGCACCTAGAACTAATCAAAGCCAACTAAAACAAGAAAGGGGTGATAGTTGAAGGAGATAATGGTATTGTATCAATGACGTTAACTTATAAAAGTAAATAATTTTCACATTACCGGTTTTGGGGCTAAGAACTAGACGGGGTATGTGACTTCCTCGGTGCCCCATCATCAGTAGTTCCCGAGGATGTGTAAAAGAGCTTATGATACTAAATGCTTAGTAAGGTATTGGAATACTCAAGTAGATGAAATTAATGTAAGAATGGGAAGTCCAGCATGTAAAAAGAAAAGCAGTCAGCAGTCAAATGATGAGAATGAGCTGTATCGTTTGGCAAAACTAGCACTCTCCCGCTCGAATCTGAATATCCAAAGGAAAGATTGGTCAAAGTTATCCTTGTGTCACGCTATCTGTTCTATCGGTCTCTCTGAAAGGACCGTATACAGTTCTATTATGTAACAGGGGTGGTTTCCAAAGTCCCCGTACTTCATGTACCAATGGGAGATGTATAGCTACGTGAAAGCCAAACTTACGTAAGATGAAAGGGTTTTCCCTAAATGTCAGACATAAAATTCGAAGTAGCATCCCTTCTTCCATCCATTGTCTTTACTAATTCTACAAAGTTGGATAATTCTAGTCTTAATAGCAGTGTACTCTGTACAATTTCTATAGATTCTTAGTATTTCCGATTTAAAAGTATTGAAAATGATGTACCTAGGTATGTTTGAAGCCCACTTTGGATACCTCAATACATCAAAATCGTATTCATCCATTTTATTGTATAAACTCAACTTTACAGAGCTATCTGTCATATAAACACTAAGATCCAAAAAATTGGTTTCTGTATAGCTTACGGTTTTCTCTATAAGTAGGTCCTTATGGTAAATCTCCGTTAGTGCGTCTTCAAACTCTTTGATTTCTTTCGAGATATGTAGGATAAGTCTCATCTCTTTTATTGACTGGTATAACTTCTACCAGTGCGTCACCTCCGCTTCGCGGAGGTTCGCACTGGCTCTCCTATCCGTTTGCCTTTCTCATGTTCGCATAATGATGACTTTGAAACCCACCATGCGATGCTGAACATCACAAATGAATAGTAAACAACTGTTCGTTCTTGAGCATCTCCACGTAAGATCGGCAATTTTGAGAGAAAAAACTTGTCGCAAAGGAACACCTGCGAATCTGATTAGATTACTGAATTTGTTTTGGCTTGGTAGTCGTCATAAAAATAATAGTCACTTTGAGCTAATTTTCCGTGCAAAAATCTTTCCAAGTCTGAAGGTAAAACCTTGCCAAATCGACTGTCTAAGCGATCACCACTTCTTGGAGCTGTTGTCGCAGAAAAGCAAACTTTTTGAGCACTTTTGGCTAGAATTCATGAGTCGCAGATGTACTTGTCTGGCAAATCATGACTTCGCAAAAAGTCGAGTTAATGACCTAGTTTTGCGTGCCAAAAGCCGCGTGGGCGCGTTTGACGCGCAGTTTCTAAAGGTCCCAAATATCGGATCAGCTTGTGCTTTTGCATTTTTTACCTACATGCTGATAGGGTGCTATGACCAAAATTTCAGCTCAAGACCTTGCCTACAAAACGCTCTATGAATTTCGTGACAGACAGACATAAACACACACACACACACACACACACACACACACACACACACACACACACACACACACACACACACACACACACACACACACACACACACACACACACACACACACACACACACACACACACACACACACACACACACACACACACACACACACACACGCTTTATTATAAGTCATGATATCATCAGCATAAACATGAACTTATGCGCTTCATTTCTAGCTAATTATGTAAGTGCAATCATACATCTGACAATCGACACTTTACTATCGTCTCGCCAGTAAAAGCTTTTCTGGTACTAACTGCGGAATCGTGTACAACCGTTTCTTAGTAGTCGAATCAATTTAGAAAATAAGGAAAATTTGCGAAAATTGACTTACTGTGACTGAAGGCAGCTCACCTCTTGGACAATACGCATATCAGAGACAAATCACTTGACAATTTGTTTTTGTCTATTTTGGCTAATTCTGAAAAGTCACATAAGGTGAGAGAAGCATCGGCGAAGTTTTCCCTGCGTCTTCAACAAATGGGTTATAATTAATAAATATTCCTCATCTATTGTCATACAACACATGGGCAGCTAGATTTCTGCTCTTTTTTGCTTTTTTATTGAGCCTTTCCACTTTACAGTAAACACAGTGCGTGCAATGTTCCCTAGGATAGGCTTTCAGGGTGAACTCTTGATTTGCAATGCGCCTTTGAGCGAAAAATATGAGTGAATTATTAATATTTGCTGATATCAAAAGTACTACATAATTTTAGCATAAGGCATAAGGAACCTTGCACACGTTTATGAAAGGGGGTGCAACTTTGATAAGCTTGTCCTGTAATTTCACTTTCAATTTTTTATCTTGAACTCGTTGGTTAATGTTTCGTACGACCTTACCATTTGGCAAACTTATTTTTATAGGAGGTCTGAAGGAAATAGTCTTATATCTATTTTTTGAAGGCCGCCAAACTTTTACTGCAAGTACGATTCCCTTCGAAATTGCCCTAAATGAAATGTCACCAACGGACTCGGATACGGTGAAATGTAATCTCTTTATTCACTTTAAGCATATCATCTATACTGAGATTAGTGATTCAGCACCGCTGTTGCGCACGCTACTACCACTTTGACTATGCTATCGACAAATTCAGTTATAGAATCTATATGGCGTTAAGACACAGAAAGGACACAAGTACAAGGGCACTAATTTGTTACTCAAACGTAACAAAACGTTGTTAGGAATCTTGATTATTAGAATAAATGTATTTACAAGCAGGTGAGTGGAACTAGGGTTCTGGTTATATTCATCTCAAGACCTCGGCACTTTAGGCGCTGTACAGAGCATATGGTGCAGCACGCAACACTGAAACGTTTCACAGTTTTCAAGCATTTTCTGGATAACGTTCTGGAGATGTGCCAGCTAGATTCATTCAAGCTAAACAATGACAAATGGAAACAGGATTACGATATAGTGCAGCAAAATTGCCGCATGCAACACCGCAAGGCTTGCTTTGATTTC